GGGGCTCCCGCCCCCCCCCAGCCCCCCTCCAGGGTCTGCAGCCTCCCTGGCTGCTCCTGCTCCCAGCCCCCCCCCACAGGACTGCATCAGGAGGAATCCCCTCTCTTGGGGAGGAGAAAGTGAGAAGGCAGGGAATACCCCCCCCCCTTGACCAGTTGACCCAAAAGCACCTCCAGGAGAAATCTGAAGGAAATTCCCAAGCTCCCGGAAATGTACCCACGCTCGTTTTCTCCCCCTTTGTCCAACCTGCTGCATGCACATTTTGCCATGGCTCCCGAGGGTCCTTGGTCACGCCCTTTGCTGGCAGCCGCCCGCCTCGGAGACAATCAAATGGCACTTCCGATGGGTTCAGCAGAGGCCAGACAGGCCGGCCAAAGACCCACCCGCCTGGCCCAGCACTCTGTCTCCCGCGGTACGGAGGCGGCAGCCATGCCCATCAACGGCCTTTTGTCAACTTGGGTGGACGGACAGCCTGCTCTTTCTTTGACAACGTTTTGAGAAAAGGAATGAGGAAAAGTTTCCTCTTTTTGTCATTCGCGATACAGCTCGGGCCTTAGGGTGCCCTTAGATTCGTACCTGACCACCCCAGTCCACTGTCCTCGCTGGCCGAAGGGAATCCCGTGTGCATGGCCCTCCCAAACGCCTGCTCCGCAGCCATGGTTTCTGAGCCAGCCCATGGAGTCGCTGCCTCTGTAAGGAAAAGGCACGCGCTGAAGCCGTTGCGGTTTCCCTGGGGTAATCCCCCCTCTGAGCATTATGGGACTCCATTATGGGGGAGCAGAATGGTACTCCTAGACCCGGTTGCCTCTTAAGAGTGGCAACTAGCGCTCCGGCACGTCCGCGAGGAAGCTCACACACTACTGGTGACGTGCCATACCTATTTCCCCCACCCCGGGATCTAAAGGGATGGACTCCCTTGAACAAAAAGGGTGTTGGGATCCCCCAGAGGCAAACCTCTGTTCCCCACCGTCTCTGGGTTTAGTCAGAGTGGAGGCAAGTCAGTGGGGGACTGGTCCTTGGCCAGGCCCGGCCGAATTCCCACATCGGGCGGCTCAGGGATTCAGTCGCTGGGAGTCGGACGCACGCGAGCAAGCCCGCCTGGGCAGATCGCTCACCGGTCAGCGAAGAGAGCAGGAGCGGCAGCAGAAGTCCTGGGCTGCAGGGCCTCATCCTGCCGGGCGTTGTGAAGGCATCTGCTGAAGAAGAGAGGGATCCCGCATACCGCCCCTTCCTCCCCGCTGAGGCATCCCGGCTCCTCTTTCCGTTGCCATAACGATCGATCTCCATCCCAGGGAGAACAGTCAATGATCCACTGTCCTCGGGGTCCTTCAGGGCACCAGCACCTGCCTGGCATCCTTTCTTCTGGGCTTCTCAGCTTCCTTCCTGGGCTGCGCCCCCCTCTCAGGCCCTGCTCAGGTTTCTCGGCAGACTCCACGGGGCCCTGGTGTCCCTGCTGGGAATGGGGAAGGGGCGTCTGCCTCCGCCAGGCAGCAGGACCAGTGATGCACAGCCTGAAAAGGATGGGCTCCAGTCGCTTGGGGCAGGATGGACCCAGACGAGGCGTGCCGTGCTTCGGAGACGCAAGACAGGCGGCCTCCGAAGGGTCCTTCTCTGCCCCTGACGTCTCTGGAGAAGGTCGACAGCAGGAGATGGGAAGGGAAGCGGTTGGTGGGACCTGTGAAGGACAATCTAGGCCAAACTCACAAAGGTGGTTCTCCACAGGTTTGGAAGCAAAACACATACAGTGAATAGGACTATTGATAGATATCTGTCATCTTAAATGTATGACTGGCTTGCTTTTTTCATAGATTTAGAGCCATCCTTGTCCTCCAGGAGCTCAAGGCAGCGTACACAGCATTCCCTCGGCTGTTTCCCCCGCTGTGAGGGAGGCCAGGCTGAAGATACTTTGGAACCTAGTAGCTAGCGCTTCCCCCCATCAACACCCTAGCCGCCTGGGGAGAGGGAGGTGGTGATGGCTTTTGAAGGCGAGTGGTCTGGGGCAACCAGAAGCTCCCAGGCCCAACACCCGCCTTTCACTTAAGAGATTCAGTTGGCGGTGGCCTCATCCATAATGAGGAACGGGTGCTTTGGAGTTCTCCAGGGCTCCAGAGCTTTTGAGGAGCTGGGGACGCAGAAGAACCACGGAAACCCCACAATAAGGTGAGATCTGCTCCCAGACCGACTCAGTTTCAGATATGGACAGATATGAGAGTCCAGCAGTTCCTGACAGCTGTGCGCTATTTTTTTAAGTTCTGAAGACCTCAGGAGGCTGCCAGGTCTCACCAGATGTTTATATTGCCACCCAAAACCTCACAAGAGCCTTCCGATGATGGATGGAAGATGCAGATTCTTCGAAAAGGTTTGGGACCAGGATGCTGGTCAGACAAATTCCCCTCCTGAAACTCTTCCGATGCAGCCACAGTCTGAAGGCAACACCCTCCCCAAATTACCAGTGTCCCTCTTGGTGGTGGCTTCAGATTTCTTCAGCCACAGAACGGTAAGGCCTGAAAAGACTCTTTAAACTGCAGATGTTCCTATTTTAATTTAATTCTGAAAAATATTGGATGATAGGTTGCTCAGACTATAAATCTCCTTGGATAAGCAAACCAAATCACGGCTTGACGAAACATCTCTTGATTCTTCATATTCAACCTGATTCAGATCAAGGAGGAAAAAGAAAGAGGGGGAGCGAGGAAGGAGGAGCAGAGCATAAAGAATTTGTATTCCTTGCATTGATGAGTTATAAGAAAGAGGGGTTCGCGTGACTGCTTGCATTCTTTTCAGGAAGAGTATTGTGACAACAGTTAAATCGGGAGAGGCCCCTTTAAAAATGCAGAAATCCGGCAAGTATAGTTAAAACCTTTTCTGTGTGCTTTGCTTTCATCTTTATCTCTTTCTTTTAACAAGAGGAAATGTCTGCCTCTCAGGATTACAGAAGGAAGCCTTGAAATGTAATTGAGATGAAAAAAATATATTTGTGAAGCTGAATTAGAAAGCCTGACTCTCTTTCTCAGCAAGGGAGGGCTTTTTAAAGCGATCATCTCTGGGAAATGGGAAAAGTGTCCCCTGTAAGCAATCCCTGGGGAGAAGTCAGGCTGCTGTAGATTCCTAATTTCCCGGATTCGGGAAAGAGGCAGCCTCTGAGCTTCCCCGGAGGGGCCAGGGCAAAGCACAAAATGGATTTTAACGCCTCCCTTTGGGACGTTCTCCAAGAAGCCTGGGCAAAGATAAAACCGGACCAGGATAACGTCACCGGGGGAAGTGAAGAGTTCAGCTGTAAAAGCAGAAGCTACTGGAAGTGCTGGCAGGGGTGCGAGGAGGGTTTGAGCCAGGCCGGACCCCCAGCGATCCACTGACCGGCCTCCTGCTTGGAAGGTGCCCTTAGACATGCGAAGTCACCCCTGAAAACTGGCAGCTGCTTTTCCAGGGAAAGGAAACCGTGCTGGCAAAAGGGCCTCACGGTTCACAGGAGGGCTCTTCGGCAGTGACTCGACTGTCCTGGGGGGCAGCTCCAAACCGAGAGCATCCTGGATCACCCCACGGGGCTTTTGGGGGCACCCCAGGCAGATAAGGAAGTTTTGCTGTCCACCTGTGGTCCCGAACCCCACAGCTGCAGAGGTCCAGAGCATGGATCCGCAGCGCAGAGCCCCCCTTGGCTCCTTGCACCACCAGTCACTAACCGCGTGAATAACATTAGTATGGAATTATGGAATATTTTTCCATAATTATAAATATATTCATAATCACGTTGCAAAAAAATGATGCCGGTGAAAAGAAAAATGCCAAGTGTGTCACCACTTCCAAGCCAGGTTTTCTGTGGCTTAAAAGAGGCTGCTGAAGCGATCGGGCGCAGAATCCCCATTTCGCTAGCGCAATTTTACTTCCGGCCCAGGGCCAAACCGGACTCAAGTAACGTGCCGAGGACCGTTCTCCCCAAAACAGGCGTGAGTTGGATCAGGGCCAAAGCTAACCTCGGCTGGATGGATCTTACATTTTTCACATCATTGTCATGAGGCGTGGTTGTCTTCGTTGCTCCCCGCGCTCCCCGAGTTTCCCCTTCTGCCTCTTTAGAGACTACAATGTGCTGGCCATTTCTGTGGGTGACCTCTGAGAATTTCAGAAGCCCCTGAAGCCCCAAGGCTCCAGCTGACGCATCCCACCGTCGACGAGCCTGCTTTAAAACGTTCAGCTCCGATCCAAGAAACCCATTCCCGGCTTCAACGTTTCAAGTCCAAGCATGCCTCCTTTTTGCACCCGGCTCAGCCAACGCATCCTTTAGTTCTAGCAAAAAAGGACAGAAATCCAAGGTGTCAAAGCCTGCCATCCCTGGAGCGTGTTGAAGGTGCATCTGAAAGCTACGGGCCCTGCACGATGCTCTGACCTTGACGGGCATCTTCCTTCTTGGTCACAACGATGCAAAAGCGTTGCCTAAAAGCCCTCAAGCGCGCCATCTCGTGGCCATCTGTACTCCAGCGCTTCCGTTCCAGTGGTCACTCAGGGGACTTGCAAAAACAAAGCCTCTGCTCAGTTACTCCAACGTTAAAAGAAAGCGGGATGCACTAGGGTTGAGGCCTGCAGGTTGAAGCCATTTTATAACATATTTATAAACACGTTATACTCTGATCTTTGGCTGGAGAGGCTTACAGAAGCATAAAAACAGGACAGCCTTTTCCTCGTACTAATGCTGAGGATGCTAAAGCCGGGTTTCTCAACCTCAGCAACTCTGAGATGCCTGGACCTGAACTCCCAGAATCCCCCAGCCAGGAGGCCCTGAGACCCCCTGTGCTCGGAGGGCGCAGAAGTCACGTTTGCCTGAAAGGTCCCTCCTGAGAAGCATTTGGAGGAAAAATGTATGGGGGGACGGTGGGGGGGAGGGAGGGAGAGGAATGGCTGTTTTTCACAAGGCCAACCAGATGCCTCTGGCGTGCTTCCCCCATGGCTGTCCTCCACAACCGGGGTTTGATGTCCCCAGCCCAGAGGAGTCCTCGGGACCAACAACCCTGGATAGATCTGTCCTCCATGGCTATTTCCAAGTGGCACGCATGTCCATGGGTCTTGTGGGACTGAGTTCCACGGTTTAATGGGGGGCTGCGTGAAGCCTTTTTCTTCTCTCCAGTGAGTTTCACCAGAATTTGGAGGGAAGGAGAACAAGTTCTCCCTGCCCATCCCTCCCTGCCAGGCAGGATTTTACACCCCTAACCCTAACCCTGTCCCCTCTCAGCCCCCATTTCTCCTCCCTATCCTCACCCGGAAGGTGCCCAAACCCCCTGCTTGCTTTGTTCCCCTCTCCTGCCTTTCCAGCAGCTCTTGCATGCCTCAAGTCAGTCTCGACCACCAAGGACAAGGTGGGCAAGTCTGCTCAGTTTTGGAAGTGGTGGCCATTGCCTTCTTCTTAAGGTGGGGGGGAGAGAAAGAGACTGGCCCTGAATTCCTGGACTGGCTTCCACGTCCAGACCACCCAGCCCAACGGCCAGAATCCTCTCCAGGGCTTCATCCATCCCAAGGAGTTGTGCAAAGCCCCCACTGTAAGGTTCACCCTGTTCGTCTCAGAGAAACTCTCCTGACACGTGTGTTCAGCAAAGCAGTTTACTCAAGTGTAAGGCAAGTAAGTACAGACGAAGCCAGGGTTGGCTTGGCATAGCTTACATGGTATCTTATAGCTTCCCTGTTCCACGCTTTACCCATTGCTTAGTTACAGATACCTGCAGTAATCCCCCCTCGCCCAAATGGCAGATTCAGTCGGTGCTTTTGTCTTTCTGATTGCAGTCTATGGGTTGTGCTGCTGTTGCCTTTGTTGGGTCATTGATTGCTGCGCCCGAGGGGAGCCGCGCTGGTTTGAGCCACCTGCCAGCAGTCAGTTCGCGGTTTCACTTCCCCTTTTCCTCCGCTCGCGCCTGGGCGGCGAAATTGACTAGGGAGCGGTGCCTTCGCCGTGCCGGGCCGTGCCGTGCCGTGCCGGGCCATGCCGGCTGAATCTGACACCCACAACATGGGCGTTTCCTTTTTCTGTCCCATTTGTAAAGTCATCAAAAAGGGGTTTTCCTGGCATGAAGCAAGCAGGGTGGGGAAGGAAAGAGAAGCCTCGTTGCTCAGAAATGATGGCGAAACGCAAACAACTGACCAACACACCGATTGTGCCTTTTTCTGAAAGGGAAACAGGATCTCAACTTGCATCCGGGGCAGCAGGAAGTGAAGAGTCCCGGCCGATCTTGAAGAGTTTCTCTTGAAGGAGAGCTTCTCCCCCAGATGAACTGAGTCCTGCCGCGGAGAAGGACTGAAGGGAAGGCCCTGCCAGTCTAGGAAAACAGGTGTGTGGTTGTGTGTGTTGAGGGGAAGGACGGGCTTTGATCTTCAGGGCTTCAACCCAGCCCTTCTGCAGGCAAAACGTGGGAATGGGGGTTCACTCCTTCCTGGGGGGGGTCATATACCAGCAGAGCCAGGGCACTCCACAGCATCAGCAGTTTAGAGGGCATCTTCTGGGGAACGCTGTGGTAGACTAGCTGGAGCTTCCCAAGTAGACCAATCTACGATTGTGGCAATCCCCAGGGCTGGTTGAACTTCAGCTGCTTAGATCTTCCCTGGAGGATGGCTGCCTTCCAGACCATAGACGGGCATCTTTTGGAGGGCTTGGGCCTCTGTGGAGAGCTTGGCTCTTGACAAGATGCTAGCTGTGACCTGTGGCAAACTCCCCCTGGCCAGAAAGTCAGTTGGAAAAGTTGCTCCTGTGCCCATTTTCTCTGTTCTCCCCAAGCATGGCTGGGGAATTCTGGGAGTTGAAGTCCACACGTCTTAAAGTGGCCAAGGTTGAGAAACACTGCCTCCATCGTATGACTGCCATTCACTTCACGCGCTTTCCTTCGATCTGAATTCTGGGGAAAAAAAGGGGCTCCAATCCTCAGGTGTTTTGGAAAGAAATACAGTTGGGGATATCTCACCAGTCCTCAGTGAGGTCTGTGCCCGGGCAACTGGCATGTGCAGGCTGGGGGAAGCAAAAGAAAACCGACCGCAGAAGACTGTTTATGTTGTGGATCAAAGCAAAGGTGGAGAAGGAGAGGTCAGTTGGGCCAGAATAGGCTTTCTGTCGTTTTTGGCCACGCATCTCTCCGGCAGCCTGCATCGGAGGCTTCTTTGCTCTCTCCCTCGATGCGAAGCTTTGTAGAAAAAGTTTTCCTTGGCTGGGAAAGACAACGTGGGAGTTGTCCTTGCAGCTGAACAGTTAATTGTTCCAGTTCTGGAATCTCGGGTCTGTTGAACAGTAACTACAGTTATGAAAGAAATAATTGATTTGCCCTGCGCCCTGATTTGTGCAGAGCTGATGAAGAAATGACAGGTAAGCAAAGGTACCTCGCTCTTTGAGCAAGATGGGCCGGGACTACACCTGAAAAACAGACAGACAGACAGACAAAGTCTCTGAAGCCGTTATCACAGCAAACTGAGATTGCGCACAGCATAGACTTGGGCACATTTATCCTAAGTACCGTTGAGCACAGTTGCCCTGAATAAATCTGGGATCCATGTGTGCGGATAGGCAGGGAGGGTTAGATTTTTCAATGGGGGAACATAGAAAAACTTCCGCAAGTCGAACAGGCTTCTTGGGAAGGCATGGACGCACTGCCTAGTTTTCCCGGCAGCAGCCCTCTTTCCTTTCAGGGAGTTTGCCTGTGAGAGATCCTGGTGTTTCTCACCCAAGTCCTCACCAGGCCCAGCAAACCGCGAGGAAGAATGCCCAGTTCAGAGAAAGGGGTCTCTGTCTCTTGAGAAGGCCTGTCTCCCGTACAGTGATTGTCACCCGGAGTTTAGGCTTCGTTATTAGCATTTTAATAAAGGCGATATTGGATTTAGCACGGATGCCATGCTAAAATGCCAATATCGCCTTTATTAAAATGCTAATAACAAAGCCTGAATTCCAGGTAACAAATCCCCCCTCTTTGGTTAATCTTCAAACGATTAATGGTTTGCTGAACCGCTTTTATATTTAGTAAGCGAGGGAGCCGTTAACCACCCTGGAAATATTTTGAAAAGCAAAACACGTTGGCTCCTGCAGCTTTCCACCAAGGTCTGTGTCTGAGCGGGTCTCCAGACCAAACCCTGGTACCAGTCTTCTCCTGCGCAGCCTTCCCCCATCAAAAATTACAGCCAGGATTGTGTAAATGTTGCCTGTAAAGGCAGTGCCCGCCTGGAAGTAGCGTGGGCAGAGACAGCTGGGCCTGGAGATTAGGCGGGCAGGGCCAGGCCTGGGGCGCTCCGGCTTCTGTTGCTGCGCGTGGCAATCAGGGCTGGGCGGTCCTCGCCGGCTCCCCTCGGCCCGAGCCTGAGCCTGCTCCTCCCTCGCCTTCCTTCCCGGCTGCTGATTCTCCCACAGTGTTTGGTGCCGGGACTTCCACGCCCCGCGGCTTCGCTCCCCCCTGGCTGGCCATGTGACTCTTGTTGCCACAGCTCCCTAGGGAGATTTCCTGGCTCAACAATTCTGCCCGCTCTCCTTGGCGCCCAGAGGAGGACGGGCGGGGAGCTCTGGCGCGGGAGCTGCGCCTCTCTGCCGTGGCCGCTGCTGAGTTGGTGAAACAGCCACTTGGGACTAAAACCTCAGCCCTGAGATTTTACTCCCTTCCGGCAGGCAGAATTCAGGCTGGGGGCCAAGCGGGACCGAGGGGGGGAGTGAGGCGGCTGGGGAGGATGCCGGCCCGCCACCTGGCTGTTGGCCGGGGTGAGGCCAAAGAGAGGTGGCTTGGCTCCCGGAGAGAGAGGCTGCCGCGCTGAGAAGGCTGCCTCTGCCGGTTCGCCATCCAAGCTTGAAACTTTTGTGGGGCAAAAGGGCTTGCCCGTGCCAGGGAGTGGCTTCCTGTGCCAAAGGAGGAAGGTGCCTCTGGCACACAGGGGCGGCCCTTTTCCAAAGGCACTACGGAGGCACACCCGTCTCAGATGCCGCGCAGGCACAACCCAAGGGGGAGGAAAACTCACTGCGCGTCTCTGTTTCCCCCCCCCGGCGCCTTCGTGATTAGGGAGGGCTCCTCGGCCATGGCGCACCAGCAGCAGAGCGTCCTGCAGGCCAGCGGCAGGCCCGGCACGGCGGTGGGACCGGAGGCGATGCAGCGCCTTTTGGCTGCGTGTCAGGAAGCCAAGAGGTTCGCCTACTGCCCCTACAGCAAGTACCCCGTGGGAGCAGCGCTCCTGACTTCAGAGGGCAAGATCTTCACAGGTAAGGCAGCTATGAGCAGCGCCCCCGAGGCACCTCGGCCTGCCTGGACCCCCCCTCCTGGCCCAGAGAAGCTGTGGTGGCTCTGCTGCGGTGGCATTTGGGGAAGATTTATGGGGCACCAGCTCTTTCAGCATTCCAGCAGGGGATGCTGGGAGATGTGGCTTAGCAACAGCTGGAAGGCCCTAGGTTGTCTTCCGGGTGCTGAATCCAAGGTTGCTTTGAAATACAGCTTTGGGGAGGAGATGGTGCTGAAGGACGGGATTCCTCTGCGGGTTGCACACAAACCGCTCTACTCAGGAGGCAACCAACTTAGTTCCTAAAGCGGGACAGTCCAGCTTCTCCCAAGGACCCAGTCGTTATTGGCCATCAACAAGACAGACGTTGCAGCAACAAAGCAATTTACGATCAGTTATTCCTACTTTCCCCTCAGCCAATCCTGTTTGGTCAGGCCAAATGAATCTGCAGGCGAAGCGAAGCAGGAGAGCTTTTATTCTGCGCAAGATGGCCTGTTGGTCCTTAAAGGCTGCTGAGGACTAACATGTTCCCTGAGCCATTGTGCGCTCAGTGACCTCACAGCAGTTCAGCCAACCCATGCCTTAGGTGTTGCAGCTGCATGAATACAGGACCTAGTTAACAGTTTCTGTGCTCCCCTAGGGCTCGCTTTAACACCTTTTATAACGTTTTTGCCCTCAGGTTGCAATGTTGAGAATGCAAGTTACCCGCTGGGAGTCTGTGCCGAGCGGACAGCCATCCAGAAGGCTGTGTCTGAAGGCCATACAACATTTCGAGCCATGGCCATCAGTTGGTACGTGGGATTTAGGATTTGGGAAAGCCCTAAAACGAGGCCAGATTTTTTTTTTAGCTGGGCTGTGTGCAGCTGAAGCTGAATCTCAAGGTGGAAATTGTAGGCTGAACACATTAGTCCATTGAAGGTTTAATGAACATCTGGTTAGACCTACCTTTCAGGAAGGAAAAATGGTTCCTTCCTTTTGCCCCGAAAACACACAGAAGCAATCCTCTGTCTGTCGGTCCGCTGCCGAACGTAAATTCCACTCCTTCTTGGCCTAACACAGAGCAAAAATCATCATCAGCTTGGGCGTGCGCTAGATTCAAAAGCCACGATGTAGTATCGCTTTCTGTTTGGAGGAGATGTGGAGCAGAAGGCCCTTTTCGCGAGATAGACCCCATCACCGAGGGCGACGTCGGCCAAGAGCCAGGGAGGGCCGTGCAGACCTGGCCATTTGGCTTGCTCCTGGTTTAGTGGATTCTGCCAACCCAGAACCTGGGTTAGTCCAGCGAAGAGGCCCACTGTGCCAGGCAAGCCCAATCTCTAACGTAACTCTCGATGCAGGGGGCCTGTCTTAGCCTCCAGAATTAAATGCGACAGCCCTGAATTTTATTTCCTCCCTTTCTTCACAGCAACAGCCAAGACTCGTACGCCCTGCCCTGTGGAGCTTGTAGACAAGTCCTCCGAGAGGTAAAACACCGTCTTCTCTTCCTGCGCCTGCCCCTTCCAAAAAGCCAAGCGCGGTGTGGCTTTTCACTCCAGTCGGCGTTTGCCTCTGGCATAGCCTGCGCTTTCCAGCGGATCCGAACGTTTCGTGTGCGCTGAAAATCTGGCCTGCCATTGAGGGAAAAAAGGGTCTGGGTTTGCTTCTGTCCCTTAGCAGAATTACGGCAGCGAGTCCCAGAATCAAAGCGGCATCCAGGCGTGCCCGTGCTGAGACTTCCCCAGTCTCGTGCATCTTTGCACCCCGCTGTGTTACCAGTCTGGGTGAGCACTGATAAAACACTGCAGAGGAGCGAACCTCAGCGCTGCTTTTGTGCAGCATTCGAGGGAGGGACAAATTCCGAATGTTGGTGAAACACCCCACTGAAAGAAATCTTGATGCGTTGTCAGTGGAGGGGTGCACTGTGGGGTCCGTGGGCTCCTCTCTACCAGTTTCTCAACCTCAGCAACTTTAAGTCCACACGTCTTAAAGCGGCTGAGGTTGAGAAATGCTGCTCCCTACAAATCATTGAGCAGGATTCTGCACAGGCTAAAGTGCAAAGGTTTTGTGGGCCCACCCTGCCAACTTCCACTGTTGCCAAATGTTTAACTGCTGGCCCACGCTCAGGGTGACTAAGTGGCATTTATTTCAAACGGCAGAAATTTCTACCATTTGCTCCCAAGTGTGCCCAGCAGACACCCATTCGTAGAAAGTTTGGGTGAACCTTCATTTCACAATACAGAGATCTGCAGGAGGGGAGGGGATTTTAGGGAGAAACGCAAAGCAAAGGCAGAACCCATTTACGTTTTTCACGGCCAATCCGATCAGAAAGGTAATTGTGTATCCCGTTTCACGCAACCTATTAAACCAACCTTTACAACTCCGCATGATGTGTGAACCCAGCCAAACGTGGCTTCTGGAATAAAACACCATGAAACAAGGATGCGGCGTGAACTCGGTCTCTGGCTTCCAGCTGAAATAAGCCACCTTCCCCAAATTCCATTCTTCTCTGACAGTCTGATGCTTGAGATTTAAGGCGGCTGTGGATTATTTCTTTTTTCTAGTTCGGCAAACAATGGGAAATCTATCTGACCAAGGCAGATGGCACATACATACAGAAGACGTTAGAGGAGCTTCTGCCGCTGTCTTTCGGACCAGAAGATCTGAAGATCTGAAGGGGATGGAAACCAGCGAGGCCTCGCTGCTTCCCCACGCCTCCCACACCTCCTGGATTGAGAAACTTTGCACACGTTTTCATTCCAAAGCTACTGATTTCGGGTTCAGAGGGGCTTCGAAACCTTCAGGATCCTCGGCCTCGACCGGTGGCCTCCAGGGCTTCGGACCACGTCCTTCCCAGCCTGCCTGGGAGAGCCCGGGGTGAATCTGGACGCTTTGCCACTGACCTACAGCCCCCGCCCCACCCCAAGATAAACAGCAGTCTTACTCTTTTGAGACCATTGGCTCTGTATTCTTTCGCTTCTTGCCTCCAAAGACTACCCTCGGCCCCTCCCTCTGAGGAAATCACTCTAACCTATTTAAATAGATTTCTGTGTGTGTGTGGGGGGGGGTGCTTTCAAGTCAGCCTTGGCCCTGGCAACGACGTGGACAAGGATGTGCCCTGGCCCCCTTCATCCTTGGGCTGGGAGAGCGGGACTGGCCCCAAGTCCCCCAGCTGTCTTTGTGCCCAAGGCAGGACTAGAACTCAGGACATTTGGGACTGAGGGGAGGTGAGCTAAAGACAGTTGGGGATCTCTCCAGCAATCCAAGGGTGCCCCTGCCTGTCCTTCGTAACGAACACATGCTCCAGCCACATATCAGGTAGTACTAAAGCGCCGGCATTAATAACACCCCCCACACACCCCCTTCTCCACACACCCGATTAAGCGGGTCCTGCTCCTGGCAACTCTCGCTTGAATTTGCTGCCTTTCTCCGGTGGAATGGGAAGAGTGGTGTGTGTGTGGGATTTGCCCCGGAGCAGCACTGAAACAGTCACGCGGGTGTCACCCTCCGGTCACTGACGACTGTTCAGCTCACTACTTCCCATAAATGTTGCGCCATCATCATCATCATCATCATCATCGTCATCGACCTCCGGAGCACCCTTTGGTGCCGCTAAAACGACCCCACGGGGAGGCCGATCCGACACCGACCTTGTTCTCTTTTGCAGGCTGCGGAATCCCCCTTCCCTTCGGTTCTTCGAGGCTTTTCAAACTGTTTGCGCGACGCTCTTTTCCACGCGCTGTTTCAGCCCTCCTTTTTTAAACCGTATTATTAAAATACTGCTTAGTTGCTCCACCATTCTGCATGTGGCACGCATCAAAGAGAGAGAGAGAAAGAGAGGTTTCAAAAGATCAAACTGAACTTTTCATTTCGTTTTTCACTTTTGAACATCCTGCAAGGCAAGAACAAAGCAGGGACATTTTAAAATGGCATTTATTTTGCTTTTCAAAGCGGCCCATAGCCAAAGCGGTCTGGGTCAATTGCCGTTTTAAAAAACACGCAAAAAAGCAGAGTTTGAATGAAAACACACCCGCAAAAGGAAAGCAGACTAGGCGGCCGCAAGGCGGTCGTTCAAAACCTAAAGCGAACTCAAACAATTCAGATTTAAATTTAAAATGGGAAAGTGAAGAGATCTTCTCCCGGTGCAGAAATGAGGCTAACGTGGGCGCCAGCCGAGCCCCCTAAGAGGGAATTTCCCAAATGGGGGGCCAGCATAGGAAAAAAAAATTCAAGGCACCCCCCCAAACAATAAGCCACGACTTTCAATCACAGTTTGCCTATAGGACTAAATGCACCGAAAGCATAATTTACAGGGTCTTTGCATATCCAGATCCACCCGGTTGAGAAACCAGGATTCGAATTTTATTCCCCCCCCCAAAAAAAGAGCTATTCTTTTCCGACCGTACCGCAGCGCAGGGCTTCGCCCCTTCGGGCGCCTCGGAAGACTTGAAGGACTTCAACTCCCAGCGTCCCTCTGCAGCCCGCCCGCCGGCCCGCAGGCGCGCTTGCCTGCGGAGTTCTGGGAGTTGAAGTCCGCCTGCCGTGCCACGCCCATTCCGAGCGTTTCCTCGATCCGCGCCGAGCGTTTCCTCGATCCGCGCCGAGCGTTTCCTCGATCCGCGCCGAGCGTTTCCTCGATCCGCGCCGAGCGTTTCCTCGATCCGCGCCGAGCGTTTCCTCGATCCGCGCCGAGCGTTTCCTCGATCCGCGCCGAGCGTTTCCTCGATCCGCGCCGAGCGTTTCCTCGATCCGCGCCGAGCGTTTCCTCGATCCGCGCCAGTCCACACATCTTAAAGCGGCCAAGGCTGAGAAACACTGTTCTATAGAAGCTGATTCTCCAGCAGGAGTGTGTGGGGGGGGGGAAGCGTTTTTCTATAGAATCAACAGCTGCTCTCACTGGAAAAGCACCTTTTTCTCTATAGAAGCAGGAGGGGAAAGTGGGTTTTTCAGGGGAGATCAGCCACTGATTCTCCAAAAGCAGGAGGAGGGGGGATTTTTTTTCCCCTATAGAATCAGTTGCTGATTTCACATGAAACCCCCCTCCTGCTTCTATAGATCAATTACTGCTCTCACCTGAAAAGCCTCTTTTCCACCTGCTTCTATAAAATGAATTGCTGATCTCACCTGCAAAGAAAAAAAACCTTTTTTCTCCTGCTTCTATATAATCAATGGTTGATTTCATCTGAAAAACACATTTTTCCCTCCTGCTTAGCCCTAACCCTAATCAATTGCTGCTCTCCCCTGATTAACTCAAAAGTAGATCCAGGGCAGGAAAAGGCCAGGTGGTTTATATAGAGGATTATGGAGGTAACTAAAAGACCAGGCAACCAGAGAGGGTAGCTCCAAAAAGTTGGGGAGCTGGGGTTCTGCTGCAGGGCTTGATGGCAGCGGGTGGAGAAGGAAGCCAGAGGGTAGCTGCTTCTCCCTTGTGGCCAGAAGTAATTGAAGCAAGTTCTCCTTTTGGTGTTACTGCACGTACAAGGTACTTCTCTTCTTTCCCGGTCCAGACAATATTTATCCAGAGGAACAAGCCTCAGAAAGACACCCTGGGGTTATTAGCCCAGCGAGGCTTCAAACTGGAAGAGTATTTCATCGGCCAGTCGATTGGCAAAGGCTGCAGCGGTGCCGTGTATGAAGCCGCTGCCCCTGCCACCCCCGCGGGAGACGGAGATGAGCATGATGGTGCTTCGGGCGTCCAGGGTGTAGCAGAGGCCGAGGGCTGGAAGGAAGGATTTCCGTTGGCTATCAAAATGATGTGGAATATTTCGGTAAGAAGCCAGTCTGGTTGGCTTTTGTGGTTGTTAGAGCAAATGTTTGTTTCAAAGTAGACGTGCATGCACGCATGTATTAAGGCTGGTTGGTGTCTCAGGAATGACTAAGCAAAGGTGAGAATGCAAACCTGTGGCTTCTTAAAGAGTGGCAGACACATTGCACGCTGTAAAGCCTCTCTAGGATCACGTTTGAAGCCCTAATGGGTAGCGGTGAAGCCATACTGGGAAATCTAAAAACAAAAACCAAGGATGGAATTAGGAAATCTGTTCTGAATAATTCCACTTTTTAAAAAGGGCTTAAGTGAAAAATACGGTAGGTAGTTACTGAACTTAACAGTTCTTCTGGGCAAAATTATGATTCAGAGAAAATTGTCACGGGGAATCCTAGAGCAGGAAATCCCTGCTGAGTTTACGAAACCAAATTAAAGCAAGCCAGGCGGGTGGCTGTCTAGGCCCCAACCAAGGCATATATTTCCCTAAAAGGACCAACGCGGCTTCTTATGTGACCAATTTCTAGAAACAGAATGTTGGCCTGATCCTGCTTTAGGACGCTTCTTAAATGTTTAATCGCTTTCTGGGAACCAAGTGTACCTTTCAGTCCCTGCAATTTGCACTTACCCTTTTATCTATTAAATAAATTAGAAGTCATTGGTGGAATGAAACAAGGAATAAGATAGGTGCTGGAGAAAAATAGAAATAAAAATGATGATAGCTGTATTTTATGATACACAGTCAGTCCCTTTGTTTGATACTGGCTTTTCCAGGCTGGCTCTTCCAGTGAAGGAATCCTCACCACCATGTCTCAAGAACTTGTTCCAGCCAGCGGCCGTGCCCTTTCTGGAGAATTTGGAGCAGTTGTTAGGCCCAGGTATGATTTACCAGTTCTGGCGGACTTGGAACAGAAAAGAAGAAAGGAAAGAGTTAAATTTTGCAACCTGATCTAGGATGCCAGCAAAATCAGAGAAAGTGAGCAGTTATTTATCTCCTGAAACAGTGAAAATCCCATAAAAATACCCCTTGTGGAACCAGAGATTCTTGTATTTCTCCTTGAATATTTGACCTCAGATCCAAAGCAGAAAGTTGCTTTTTTTCCCTGTTTATCTTCTTTTTCGCCCTCTAAATTTTTTCTCTAATCTTTTGATCTTAGTAGGATATTTTAGGTCTCCATTCCATCCTTGCTGAAAAGCATGGATAGATTTTTAAGAGTCATGTGAACATTGGCATGTTGTTCCAAACTTTACATTGGTGTAGAAATTAGTTTCGAATACTCAGCAGGGAATTAAGTCACCCATTTTGTCCTCAGTTTGAGGAAAGCCTCTAGGCCAGAGCTGTGCCCTTCTTCCATTGATGCTTCCCAGTTTCTCCAGGCTAAACTCTCAGCCATTTGGATGACAGGCCTGCCTAGGCTGCGTTTATAAGTCAGCCACGCAGTGATAGAACAGTTCTGGTTAGCGACTGGTTTTTGTTGTTTCCAGACGTGAATACTGACCCGACATTTCCCGTACGGCAGATTTCCAGTTGTTGTTTTTTTTGTGGATTACTGGACCCTGTGTTCCATCACCTGGGGCTGAGGGCAAAATTGTGACTCAGGCTGTAAGATTTAGGGATATTCCTGAGGAGCTCAGCTCAGAATTTCTGGATCATGATAATTGTCTTGAAACAGGAAACACGTCTTTGGGAAGAAGTGGCTGAAACCTCACCCCAACATCATCCAGGTGATTCGAGCTTTCACATCTCACGTCCCGCTGCTTCCGGGCGCCACGGTGGACTATCCCGATGTCCTGCCTTCCACCTTGAATCCCTCTGGAATTGGGCACAGCCGCACCCTCTTCCTGGTGATGAAGAAGTAAGGCAAAGAAAGCAGCTGGGTCATAACCTGCATGCATTCCAGGTTTCTAGTCCTCATGGTTTTTTGGACAAAAGCTTGCCTTCTGCCTCCAAGAGCTCTGTGTTGGCTCAGAGTGGCTCTAAGAGGCCGTCCACCCTTCCTTGACTCGTGATTATGTGATCTCTGATGCTGCAGACATATCTGTCCACTGTGACTGGAAAGTAACTATGCCAAATCCTATGGGTATACTTGATTGGGGGGGTGGAGTTAATTCTGCACAGACATAGAAGGGAGGTACCTTCAGGCTTCTCCTTCCTGCCAGCTGATCAGAAAACAGGGTTGGAGCAGGTTAGGCACGTTCCTCGTCTCTCAGAAATGGCTGATTCACTACAGCAGAGAATCAGGGTGAGACATTTGCGGGGAAGGTCGAGGCTTCGTGGATTCCTCTTCCTTCCAGGCATTGCCAGAACGGGGCTTTTAGAAGCAAGATTGGAGCACAGAGCCGATCAAAGAGAGAATCACGCTGAATATGCAAGTTGAGGTTTTGATAGTACTTGCCTCTCTGGGTAGAAAGAAACACAGGGCGCAAATCAGAAGAAGAATAATAGTTCTACAAGAGATAAACGAGGAATGTTGTCCTCAAGGATCAGTTCCACAGCTTGCGGGAGGGGAGCTGTATCCCTGAAGGATTCAGCAAGCGGTGAGCGTGAAGGCTCCGTTCGGCACCCTGGACAGACCCTGGCCCGTGGCGCCTTTTCTCAGCCGTTCCCTCCCCCCATAATTATCATTAGCAGCCCCTAATTGTCTGATTTCTGAACAGGCGTGTGTAGCACAGCTGAGCAACCCCCGGGCCCCACGTGTGGGGTCAGCCAGAGGTGGAGAACTGCAAGGAGCTGTGGACTGGCTGATACTCGGGAAGGGCTAGGCTTAACTGCACTCCCACCCACCCCATTCGAAATCCCTGGGCTGAGCCCATTTGGAGAAATGCACAAAGTGGTTTTGTCCTCCTGGGGAAGTCAGAAGTGGAAGGGCAGAACAGTGCTATGTGTCACCTGGCCGTGGGCTTTTAATGCAAAAGCGCTCCTCTCCGACGCCTCGGATCTTGGGGTACCGGAGTGAGATTGGCCCAGCATGTCTACTCTGAGTTAGATTCGGGGCTTGATTTCGCAGCAGGAGCGTTACAGCTGACGGTGTCCTTTGTCTGGCTCGTTCTGCTCAGTTACCCGTGCACCCTGCGTCAGTACCTTTCCGAGGGACGCCCGACCCCCCGTCTGGGGGCTGTGATGATCCTGCAGTTGCTGGAAGGCGTGGACCACCTCATCCGACAAGGAGTTGCTCACAGGGATCTGAAGTCAGACAACATTCTGGTGGAATTTGACTCTGGTATGTTGGATTTTTCATTATTTGCCATTTCCATTTATTGGGACTCTAGGTGGCTTCCATTTCCGACTTACAGTAAGAAAGGTAAAACACGACTGTCGTGGTCTATCCCAGGGCACGTTTTTGGGGAGAAAGGCAGCTGTGGGTATTTACTCTGCTGTGGTCTTCTCTCTAGTCCCTCCCTTTGTCCTGGGACAGAGCTTCAGGGTTTTCAGGCCTGAGAGTGAATGCCATCTTTTGCCTTCCCGGGGGTGGTGGTGGTGGTGGTGCGGAAGCCTTTCCAGGCGAGGAGACATGAGCACGGTCCCAGGAAGGACCACCCCCTGGCATGGCTGCTTTGACTCCACCGGGTCCCTCCTTGTCTCTTGCAGCAGGGTGCCCAGGGCTGGTCATCACTGATTTTGGCTGCTGCTTGGCCGACGAAAAGCTGGGCTTGAAGCTGCCTTTTCCCAGCTGGTACGTGGATCGCGGTGGCAATACCTGCCTGATGGCGCCTGAGGTAACTGTCTTGGGAGCGGGAAGCCCTGGTTCTGGGTCCACCAGGAGAAGCCCATCAATAACTCTTCCTTGCTTTTTTCTGTTGAAGTAAAGGCACTATAAAAAATAGGGAAGGCAGCAGACAAGACGGTTGCGTGAATCCTCAGACTTTGATCTTGGCTGGATCAAACGAGATGTCCCCCTACTCTGATCTCCTTGTTTCTGTTGCTGCTGCTTAGTTGAAATACTTTAAAAAATGAAAAGGGGGACAAAACAAAGCTAAAGCGAATGCGTCTGTGATCCTGTCGTGAAGCGTTTCCCGCTTAGGATCCTTTCCCTTCACTTCCTCCCAGGGGCCTTTCTTAAAGCCCTTTCCCCTGCCCTTCCCAGGTGGCCACTGCCGTCCCCGGCCCAGGCGTGGTGATCGACTACACCAAGGCGGACGTGTGGGCCGTGGGGGCCCTTGCGTACGAGATCCTCGGGGCCAGGAACCCCTTCTACGGCCAAGGGGGAGCTGCCCTGGACAGCCGGAGCTACCGAGAGGAGGAGCTGCCCCCCTTGCCCTCCCCGGTGGCCCCAGAGGTGAAGACCCTGGTCGCCATGCTCCTGAGGCGGAGCCCAGCCAAGGTGAGAACGGCGCTCCTGTCAGGGTGGTGTCAGCCCAAAAGCCAGAGTCAGCCTCGGGAGCGAGAAACCTGAATCCCCTTTTTAAAAGCATCCTGTCGCGGGTTCCTTTTCACTGTGGGACTCACTTCCCGACAGCTCCTTCCCAGAGGGATTTCTGCCACAGCCACCCGCTTAGCTGGGGTGCTGGGGAGAAGCAGAGGCTCCAGTGACCCAGCTGGCTTCTCTAGGGCTGGGCCATGCGCTCCGGTGCGCCCAGGGATTTGGGAGGGCCCTTCCACCGGTTAGTAAAGCCAACTCGGCCTGTGGGTGACCTCTCCGCTGCTGCTGCTTTTCCAGAGGCCCTCTGCCCGCGTGGCAGCCAACGTCCTCCACCTGAGCCTCTGGGCCGAACCGGGTCTCGGCCGGCCAGACCTCTGTCTCCGCCAGCTGGTGGCCTGGCTGCTCCGACAATCAGCTGCGGCTTTACTGACCGACCGCCTCGGAAGCGACCGTGGGGTTGAGTCTCGCTTGAGGAGGGGCTTCTTGGCCAACCTGGAATACGACGACCTCCGTGAGGCGGCGGCCCTGCTCTGCTCCGCTCCTGGAGGAGGGCAGCTTAGCCCTGCCCGTCACTAAAAGTGCTCAGCTGATTGAGGCCTCCTGTGGTCTCGGGCCCCGTGGGAGAGAGCAGCTTCCCTGCTGGGTGTTGTAGTGCGAAGGGTGTTCAGCTCAGGCTCAAGCCGTGGAAATCGGCGTTTTCTCCCCGAGTCTCAGGTTCGTCAAGCCGGGAGGGAGGCGATGTGGCTTTTCCCCTGGAGAGCGGCCTTCCTTTCGAAGAGGGAGCCGCGAGGACGAGGGTTGCCAGGGCGGCGAGACCCGGGGCTGCAGTCTCACAAAAATCTGGGTCCTAATCTAGGCTCCTTGTTTCGGGCTTGGCTTGGAGTGCACAACCAGAAATGGGTGGAATTCAACCACTAGGGTTTTGAGTTGCATATGATTTAAGGTCTAAAATGCCTTTATTTAACAGAGACGGGAAGTATCAAAGCAAGATGCTTATAACCTGACTTCATTCAGTGACCCAGAACCCAGACCTGGGTGGTAGGCGGCCATTTGCCTTTGTTGTGTCTAATTCTAAAGTTTAAGCCAGGTGGGATAAAGGTCATTGCCTGCTTTGTCGCGATTCTCTTTTGGTCAGACTTTCTAAGAGGACACGCTTGCCCCCTGTGGAAATACGGAAATGTTCAAACCCTTCTGGGCTTCCAAGATCTTGCCACTAAATGTCTGGCTGCAACCCACCAAAAAGCAAACAAACAGCCTCCATCGAGGGCCTTTCTTGCTGGCAAGGTTTTCTTTTCCCACGCATTCTGACTGTGCGGTTAATGGGGGGCCCTTCGCTGGGAAGAGTGCCTGGCCGGCGTTCCCAAGAAGAGGCCCGTCTGCCCATGGAGGGGCTCCAGCCTCCCCTGCCGGAATGGCGTTTTTTGCATCCGTCTGCTTGAAGGAGAAGCAGCCAAACCTCTGGGAAGGGCTCCCTGTGCTGCGGAAGGTGGGGCCTTTGGGAAGGTGTGGGGTGGATGGCCCCCCCAAGGAGAAGGGGGCCACTGACTTTCTCGTGAGTGGCTTGCGGGATTGTGGGAGGGGCAGGCACACGCCTTAGACAACTAAGGGGCAGGCAGGGCAGAAAATCCTGGCTCCCCTTCAGAAATCCAGAATCAGAGAGGCGTCTCGTATCTTTGCTGCGTCCAGGGCACCCTTCTTAGCACGTTAGGTTTTTTTTTCAGAGTGCAGGAGGATGTGCAGCGTGTTGGGCTGTGTAAGTAGGGTGGGCTGGGGTGTGCAGAGTTGCATGTGCGGTTTTTGACAGGGAGGGGGAGGCTTTTCCGTGGCTTTCTGGTTTTTTTGCTGGAAATCCACAGGAAATTGGACCTCTTTTTCTTTTTCGGTAGCGTGCTTGGGGATGAATGCGAAAGGAAAAAAAATAGCAGATCAAGTTTCTAGGCCTGAATGTTTTCAAGTTGGCTGGCGGGGCTCCTCAGGTTGGAAGCAAAACAGACCGTCTAAGATTTCCAGTAGCTGGGGAGGGAGTTCAGCGCCTTCCGCCGAAAAGGGAAAAAGGCATGTTACGGAGGCTCAGCCTGGCATGTGAACCATCGGGCCTAAGCTGTGCGAGTCGGCCAGCTCTGAATGGCGTCTTTGTTTTCTTTTAAAGTGCGGATAACCTTCACCTCGCTCAGCTGCCTGTTAATCAGTAGCTTCTCCTGTGAGTTGGGGGGGCTCTTCTCTCCCTATGAGGGAGAGAAGCGCCGAAGCAGCCCTTGTCTCCAGGAGGATCTCTTCCGCGAAGGGGGCACCCGCCCTGGCCTCGGGGCAGAGCCTGGGGAAGTTGGGCGGGCGCCTGAGCGTCTCTGGGGCCAGCACCTTCCTCTCAAGGCAGACTAGTGGGAATCTCTTTGAAGCGAATTAAAATCGAATTGAATTTGCTGAGTACGTGCCGTGTGGTTTCTCTCTGGGTTGTGAATCAGCCCCCGCGACCGCTCAGGAGCTCCAGGACCACTTCGTGGGAAAGAGATGCCTCTCCCTGAATGCAGAAAACCACGAGCTCCTGGTTTTCTGCAGGCGAGGAACCAGTGGCCAGAACCGCTTGCGGTCGCCCTTTCAAAGGAGGCAGCGGGCCGTCGCGCGTTTCCTGCAATGCATCATCCTGCAGTAAATCATACGAATTTCTTAGGTGGCTTTTTAATTTCTGGTCGCCAGAGTTTAAGGGTCAGAATGCTGGAGGAAAAGGAAGCCGGCCTTGCTCTGGCCCGAGGGCTTGTGCTAAATTCTCAGCCGTCCAGCGTGCCAGGCCTGGGCCGGTTTACTTTTCCCTGACCCGTCGCCTGGAAGGAGGGCGTGGGGTTTCCGTGCTCCCTCCTCTGCTCTTTGGCTGCTGGGCAGAGGGAGGGACCGGGGAGGCATTTCTCCCTGGCAGCAGCTGGGAAGCCGCCTGCTCTGCTGCTGCGGTGGTGGCATGGAGGGCCTCTCTGCCTTGGGGGGCAATGTCCTGTTTCGGGCCTCGCTCCTCGGGGTCCGGGCCTCCCTGCGAATGGCACCGGCTCTGCGCTCCTGCTGCAGTGAGGCCTGCCTGGCCCCCCGGGGCACCGGCTCCAGGGCTCCTGGGGGCTCTTTCCTGCATGGCTCCCTGGCCAGGAGGCTGCCCTGCCCTCGCCAGGCATCCGGCTCTGCTTTCAATGTGCCCCCCAGTGCCGAGGACACGGCCAGGCCCGTGGGGGTGTGCTCCATGTTCAGGCTGCCCATGCGGGAGTCGGCCGAAGGGCTGGACGTGGCGTTTGTGGGGGTCCCTCTTGACACTGGCACCTCCAACCGCCCTGGGGCCAGGTAAGGTGACCCTTCTGGAGATGGGGTGATGAAGGCCTGTCCAGCAGCCCAGGATCTGGTGGGGGGGCAGAACTTTGTGGAACGGGCTTGCAATCTGCCACCTGGGCGGGAAAAGAAAGAACTGCATCAAATTACGCTCATTTACTGTCTCCATACTGGTCCTTTGGCACAGCGTTACCCATTCCTGTGATCCAAGCTCAGCTTCTTCAATCTGCCCCCCACCCCCCGTCGTCTCTGCTGAGAGTGGGCACCACAGTCCAGCAGTCTTGGAAGGTGCCCCGTTGGGGGTGGGTGATCTGGGCCCAGGACTTGAGGAATGCTTCTGCCCGGGTGACTTGGCAAAGAGCGCTCCGTTTGGGGGGAAGCCAGGGTGGCCCCACCCTGCCTCAGCTGACTCTAGCTGGGCCACCGTCCAGCCCGTATGTCCGAGGGCTACCAGCTAGGCCCCCTTTGCAGCCCAGGAGCAACGTGGAGCATCTGGGCCAACTACGCTCTTGCAGCGAAGAGACCCTGGGCCGCTCTCTGGCAGCGGGTGGTTTAAACATAACATCGAGGCTGTTTCGTTTTAATCTGCAAGACATCTAAATGTTCAGCCCCCTTCTAGACGGCTGGAACCAAATGGTTTTTGGAACGCCAGCAGAGTTGGCACCACCCGTATATCGGGGAGGGGGTGGATTTCTGTCAAATGGGGGCACCCTGGGAGCGTATGTGGGCGTGCAATTATTGCACTATAAGAAATGAAGGCGGGGGTGCTGCGACGCTTTCTGTGGAGGGCTCCCGGGCCTTGAGGCTGGAAAGGTTGAGGGCCTTTTCGCCAAACGCAATGGCCCTGCGGCCTCTGGCTCCTTAGTTCGCCACCCGCCGGACGTCCCTGAAAGAGCGGGTTGGCCGGGCCTGGTCCCGCCCCGCAGAGGGCTAAGCCACGCACCGGGGCTTTCAACGCAGTGTCTTGATTCACACGGTGCGCTCAAGCCCAGCCAGGCAGGCCACGTTGTGGCAAGGCGCGCGCAGGATCGCATTCTCTTTGAGGCCGAGAAGGTGGCCGATCCGTCGGCTGCTTCTCCTCCAGGTTTGGCCCTCGCCACCTCCGGGCCGAGTCGACGATGGTGCGCTGCTTCAACCCAAGCACCGGGGCAGACCCCTCCCACTCGCTCGGGGTCGCTGACATCGGGGACGTCCCCGTCAACCTGTACGACCTGAAGGACAGCTGCAGGCGGGTCCGGGAGGTCTTTCGGAAGATTGTGGCGGGCGGCTGCGTTCCCCTCACGCTGGGTAAGCCACGCAGCTGTGGAAGGAGGGCGAAGGGCTGGGTCCACGCCACGCAAGGGCGGCCTGTCGCCCCCTCCATCACGTCACGTGGCGGGCAGTTCCGCTGATTTCTCCCAAGGAAAGCTCAGGAGCCGCCAGCCACGTGCTCTGCTTTTGCGTTTTGCAGGCGGAGACCACACGATTACGTACCCCATCCTGCAGGCAATTGCAGAAAAGTGAGTGGATAAAGGGTGGAGAAGTCAGCGCTTTGGGTCTTTCAAGGGTTCTCCTTGTTGGTCTTATTGTCGGTTGGGAAACAGCCAGAATCCCACTCAAAGGGGGAAATAAGGGAGATCACTGTGCAGACCTCGGAGGGGGAGGCTGGATTCAGACAAACACGTTGACCCCCAAGCTTCCCATTTCAGGCCAGCACACTGCGCAACCCAGGCCAAGCGTATGGTTGGCTTACGTTGAAGTTACGCAAACCTAGAAAACTTCCATTAAATAACCCACAGTGAATTGGACGCACTGACCCTGAGCAGCTGCGTTCACACTACGCGCTAAGCTTAATTCATTTCAGTCTCGGCTCTTTCTGCTTACGTTTATCTTTTGTGGCGGAGTGTGCTGTGCGCGCAGCCCGTTCAGCAAACGGACAATTCAGAGCTTTGGGGAATCCAAGAAATGGCCAATCCAGGGACCACGCGGAAGCACGTTGTGTGAAGCCGCCAGCCTTCCCGCTTCCGCAAACACAGCTTCCCCCGGCTCCGATGGAGCCTCCCAGCCTTGCTCTCCTCCCTGCAGGTACGGCCCGGTGGGACTGGTCCACGTGGATGCTCACACTGACACTGGCGACCGAGCGCTGGGGGAACGGATCTACCACGGCACGCCCTTCCGGCGCTGCGTGGAAGAGGGGCTGCTGGACTGCGAGCGGGTCGTTCAGATTGGGATCCGGGGCTCCTCCTACTCTCCAGATCCGTACAGGTTTTGCTGGGATCAGGTGAGCCCCGGGACCCCCTCTGGAGCCTCTCTGGTCTCCCCAGTGAAGAGGAGGGGACCTTCTTTCCAGCAGACCCAGAAGCGAAAAGGGGAACCTGAGATGGGTTGAAACTGCTGAGGAGGGGGGCGATGAAAGGAGTCATGCGGGGAAGGGTCCTTGAAGCCCCCAAGCCAACACCCACTTAATTGCAAAATCAGGGGTGGAGCTTGGCAGGGTTGGATTCAGTGCCCTTCCAGCACAAAGGCCCGTTCCACTGTCTGTCTGTCTGTCTGTCTGTCTGCTAACGTCTCCCCCAAACGGATGAATGAATTGCACAGGGAGGTTTCTGGGAGAGACTCACAATCAGCTTTGAACAGGGAGTGCTTGTGCAATGCCCGGCCCCTTCCTCAGCCCCAACTGATCTGCAGGAAGGATGCAAGCGGGCATTCCTCGTGTAAATGCGCTCTTTAAATTAATCGGGACTTGCTCTTCGGTAGCACAAAGCTTTGCGTGGCTGGGAGGAGCCCTCCTTTTTTTAGACGACACCCCGTTCCCTTTTGGATAATAGAAGCCCCTTCTCAGAGGACCCTCCCCCCCGCCTTTCAACAGGGTTTCCGGGTCGTGCTGGCGGAGGACTGCTGGATGAAGTCGCTGGTCCCCTTGATGGCAGACGTGAGGCAGCAGGTGGGGGACAGGCCGCTTTACATCAGCTTCGACATTGACGGGCTGGACCCGGCCTACGCTCCCGGCACAGGGACCCCCGAGATTGCAGGTCTCACCCCGGCGCAGGTAAGCCGGTGTAACAGCTCAGCTCTGCTGGGCGCGCCCAACCGTGGTGGCTCATGAACCAGCTGTGGTTTGATGTGTGAACGCAGCTAGTGTTACTCAATTAGTCTGCAAATCACAGAAAATGCACTTCCACCCTGTGAGCTCAGGAGGGCTCAGGGGAGAGTGATGAGGGTCCTACATGGCAAGATCGAAGGGGGGTTCTGGGGGACCATTCCCGACACGACTGCAGCTGGAAAGGGGAACACGTCTCAGCAGAAGCTGCCCAGATCTTTGGGGGTGGGGGGGCTGCTTTAATTTAGATTCATGCCCCAAGGGCCCTCAGAGGCCCTGTCCCGCTTGGGGGGGTGTCCTGGGATCCTCTCTGCCCACCCGCTTGCTCCTTCTTGCTTCCCCACAGGCCCTGGAGATCATCCGAGGCTGCCAAGGATTACGCATCGTGGGGGGGGATCTTGTGGAAGTTGCTCCTGTGTACGATCCTTCTGGTAAGCGGGGGGCAGGTGCCCCTTCCCCAAAGGTCAGATTATGCACCAAGGGTTTTGGCTGCCATTGGACAGACGGCAGTCGCACCCGGTCGCGGCATTGCCAGCCTCTTTCAAGCTCTGGCACCCTTCAGGTGGGCAGAACTGGGCATTCCTGAGCTTGGGGCGGCCACCCAACTGCCCTGCTGCTGCCCTATTTCACAGATCGGAAGGCTGGGGCGGTCCAGAGGACGTTTGGGGTTCCACGTCCTTGTTCTTTCCTTCCCACCAAAACCCAAAGCGGGAGGTCGGTATAAACTGAGATGGAGGCTTCAGCGGTTTTCCTGTTGCTTCAGAGCTGGGCATCGCTCAGCAAGCAGCCTTCTCCAAGGGCCCCCTTCCCCTGTGCTCGAAAAACTAGAACCGTAATCACGCATGCATTTGCAAAAAGCAGATGTCCTGAATTGCTCCTGAGGAAACATGTTCTGCTCTTTGCTTACAGGTAACACAGCTCTTTTGGGCGCAAACCTGCTCTTTGAAATGCTGTGCGCCCTCCCCCGGGTGAAGACGATGCAATCCCGTCCCCCAAAAGTCTGATTTCATGCTCTGAGAATAAAAGGGTCCCCTCTCCCTCCCCGTGGTATCTATCCTTGCAATATCAGTACGAGACACCCTTGGAAAACCGCAGGGGCATATCAGACCCTGACTGTCTTCCATTTTTAGAACATGAAGTGACTAGTCCTTATTGCTGCAGCAAAAACCTGACAGCACTGAAGGAAGTACTGCCTGGGGCTGATCCGGGTGGAGTCCTCCTTTCAGGAAGGGGGAGAGACGGAAGATACATCAGTAACACCATCCGAGTCCCATTTTTTCCTCAAGTGCTTGCACAGGAGCAGCACAGGATGGGATTTATTGAGGATGACTGGAACCCAGAGCCAGCTGCCCTTAAGACTCCCTCTGAACCCACAGGAGCCAACAGAGCTGGTGTGCCGTGCAACCTCCCCTCCTCCACCAGGAATCAGCCCAGCCCTCCATCTCAGCCAAGGTCCCCAGTGCGTCTTTAGAACAGGGGTCCCCAAGGGAGTTCCACCCAGCGCAGAGGATATTTGGTGGGGACGCAGCAACCCTGGAGAAGCCGGACGATCACGGGTGCCTTTGCCTTCAGTCTCACCACCGTATGGCCAAGGGGAAGACTGTCCCTGTCAGCTAATTAAAGTTAAGGTTGCACCATCTTGTGGTCAGACATTAAAATAGTTTATTTCAGCTTCAAACTGGTTAAGAGTCTTAAAGCAAAGCAAACCCCAAATCAGTGTAGTGCTTGCTCACAAATACCCAGAAAGAAAGAAAAGATAACAGAAAAAAAAAAGACAATTTGCCCAATAAATTATTTATTCCCTGACATCCCACTCCCACCCCAGTATCAAAAGTGCAAAATACATTGCTTTCCTTCCAAGCGAGTTCGCTGCCTGGGTTATGAGGCCTATCCGTTTCAGACACACGTTTTTCTACAGCAGACAGGAGACAACGGGGTGCTGGTCGTGGGGGAACTGCAGCTGCCAAGTCGGAAAGGGGGTTGTGGGCATGGGGGGCAGCTGAAGGCAGCTTGTCTCAGGCGCCTGGTTGCGCAACGAGGAGCAGGCAGGGCTCCTTTCGGCCACAGGGCAGGGTCAGCGTTTCTATTTTCAGCGCGCAGTCCTCGCTTGGCGAGGGGGCCGCCTCGGCTTGGGCACCGGCCTCTCTGGCAGCCAGAGCGAACAGACGCCAGTCAAAAGCAGATCAAGTGCCCAGGTCAGCAACCCGCCCCGAGCGTGGGGGTGGGGGGGCAGTCAGCTTGACAAAGCGTGATTTGCAGCACCCGGGAAGCAGCCGCCCTGTGCACAGCACCCGCCCTTGGCTCTGCTAAAGGCCCCTGCTCCGAGGCTTTCTGCGAAAGGGGACCGTTTCCCATCCACTGTCGGGAAAATTGGGGGCTGCTGCTGAGGCAAACGAGCAGGAGGGTTTGGCGGCAGTGACCCCCGCCCTCCTGGAACAGCCCGGGAACTTGATGAGTTTGGAGCATTATCGGGGGGGGGGGCTTTGTGCGTGCGGATGCGCTTCTCCAGCGAGTCGCATCCGGGACAGCGCAAGGCAGCACGTGCCACGTCGGCAGTGGGGGGAACACTGAACCAGGGAGGCCGGGAAAGGCCTGCAACGTAGCCCAGAAGTAAAGCTCGCCCCCTCCCTCTCCTCAGCGCCCCCACTGCGAAGCGCCACTCGCAAAGGCTCAGGCGGCAGAATTCCGGACCGGCTTGTGGTAGGGCCCATTTCTGGACAGGACTAAGGAGCCTCCTCGTGGGGAGAAAACTAGCACCTCAAGAAAGGGCTGCTTTAGAGCTACCTACAATCTGCCAGGCTGTTGGAGGGGAGGAGAAGCTGCTACGTTTTGTTCTCCCCCCTGCCCCACAGTCTGATCTTTGCAATCTATTTAGACAACTCAAAAGACAACCCCCCCCCAAAAAAACCCAACAGATGTTGCGCCATCCTGAAAGAGGACAAAAAGAGGTAAAGAGGCAGCTTCATAATATTGTAAACAAGCAAACTGAAACGAGGCCAGTTGCAGCTATGACGGCTCAGGGGGCGGGGGGGATCTAGCATCCATTTCAACAGACAGCTGAGCAGTTCCGTCCTTGTTCGGCCTGAAGGAGATTCAAGATCCTGGACGCCGAGGAACTTTCATGGCCGCCCCCAGATGGCCTCTTCCCGTGGAGGGCGGAGGGGGCACTGCTCACGAGAGGAGCAACGAGAGGGTCTGCTTTTGGGCGCCTGGTGGTTTTGCACTTGCGATCTAGGGATGCGGTAGCTCGGTTATGGCGCTAGACTAGCCGTCTTTAAACAGAAAGCCACAGAGAAGACGCGGGGAGGCATCGGAAAGACATGGCTCGTGGATCTGTCCTAGGGCCCAGCCAGGATCACTCTTAGCGGGCAGCTTCACAGGCCTGGGGGGCCTGCAGGGGTGCCAAGCACCCCCATCCCCCCCCGCTGGACTGCCTGTCCCGTTAACCGGTCAGTAGCCGAGGAGATTCCCTCCCACACGCCCTGAGTCCCTTGCCACCGGGGAAGACACGGCCAGCCAGGACTGGCTCAGGAGACAGGCCCCGTCGCATGCAGGGGGGCCTGAACGAGCTGAGCCGCCCGTGGACGGTCTGGGGAACATCAAAACCCATCTCTGAAGGAACAGCAGCTGTAAAAATCCATAGGCAAAGAGTTCTGATGGCAGCAGCAGCAGCAGCAGCAGCATCTCTCGACATTTCGAAGGCTGGGGAAGGAGAAGGGGGCAGGGGGAGGAGGAGGAGGAGGAGGAGGAGGAGGAGGAGAAACCGTGCCCTGTCCGCTCTCCCCGACGTCCGGACTATTTGGTACCCGAGGGTCTCTCAGCGCCTTTCTCCGGCGGCTCCTAGGGCAAAGACGCGGCTTCTAACTCACCGGGCCTAGGAGAAGTCGTCTAAAAGCTACGGTCTATCCGACACCGTGGAAACCTTCCACACACAAGCTGCTCCACGGTGTCCTCGTTCCACGGCTGCAGTAATCCAGTCACTTCCCAACCCTTCTCGGACAATTTTTATTTGGGTTCAGTCTAGCGCCGGCCAGGAGGGGATATAAAATCTCTGCAGCGACCCTTCCAGCAGCCGCTCCATCCACAAGGACAGCCGGTGCAGCTTGCTTTTCACGGATCGGCAAGCGGACGAGGGCCTGCCCCACACGTCCCCCGGGTCGGCCTCCTCGCAGGGGCCCGGGCGGCTATCGCCCTCCTCCGACGGGTGGGGCACGAAGAGGCAGAAGTACCGCTTGTGGCCGTTGAGGGCCAGGACGTAGCCGGTGTAGTCACGCTCCAGGAAGTGCTGGTCGTACTGGTTGGGGATCGGGGCTGCGTCCTGCGCAAACTCCAGCACGTCCTCCAGCCACTCCCGGTGCTTGTCCAGGCTCAGGAAGGAGAAATGGAGGCAGCTGCTCCTGGGGAGAGGCGAAGAGGAGACTCTCGAGAGGAGTCCCTGCGACGGGCAGCACCGGCCGTATCCCGCCCCCTTGGAGGTCAGTATAAGGCAGCCCTCAGAAGGCCCCCAGGGCCCCCTCCCTGGTGCCCAAGGAGACGGACATACCCCGTAAAGGTGAAGACCTCCTGAGCGAACTTCTGCAGCAGAGGAGTTTTGCTGGAGTTGGAGAGGATGAGGACCACGTTCATGTGGCCAGGCCGCAGGCGCACCAGGTTGCTCGTGTAGGTGATGTCTGTGAGCTCCGTCACTTTCACGGAGTACTTTTTGGGAATCCTGCAGGAAGCGCAGGGCGGTCATTTCACAGGGCAAAACGAAGGGGAAGCAGCATCTCCACAAAGGTCAAGGGAAACCCGGGGTTTTAGAGAGGAAGAAAACGGGGGAAGGCCCAGGGTATGCTGGAAAGGACCGAGGCGTTTCGGCGGGTCACAAGCCCAGCATGAGCCAGCAGCGTGATGCCGCTGCTCAAAAGGCAAGCCTGATCACTGGCCGCATTATTCATGCCAACACGGCATCTGGCTCCCCACAAACACAGGAGGAAGAACCTGTCTTCTTTGGTGAAGTTCATGTCGTTCTTCTCGCTCTTGGGGGGAGGGTCATCCTTCTTGGCGGGAGGCAAATCTCTTTCGTCGCTCGAATCGCTGGAAAAGAGAAGCCGGGGGCTGGTCTCAAAAGTTCTGGGATCCTGCCTCATCTGCTCCCCGCCCAGCAAATGCCTCTTGCCCCTTCTGAAAATAGGACACGAGCAATCGACCGGCGGAGGCTGACCTGAAAGCTTGCACTATCACTGTCCCGAACAGGATGAACAGTGCCGAAAAGATCAGGGAAAGCAAGGGCATCATTTCCCGCCTGGAAGAGAGAGAAGCTGCCAACGGAGAAGAGCCGCCCCCGGCGCACACTTCCCCCCCCCCTCCCAAAGCTCTGCTCCCGGCGGGGGGGGGGGGGGGGAGAAAGCAGAGCCGGCGCTAAGGGTCAGACGGGGGGCAGCGGGGTCACCGTCATCCTTTTGAGGGTAGGAAATCCAAAGCTGGATGTGGCCTCTCTAGATTGCCCAGAGGCCTGTGACTATTGTGCAGGGGGGGGCACAATAATAAAGAACAGAAATGGGGAGGGGGAGCCCAGTCTACTGCTAGGAGCTCAGTTCCTCCCCCAGATCAGCAAGAGCAGAGGGGCCCTGCCCTCCTGGGCCAGCCTTCTTGCTTGCTTCCTCTGAGCGCGAGGACAGGGCAACACGGGAGTAACGACGAGCGTGTAACGATATGGGAGCTTGCAAGCAGCTGGGGGGAAAAAGAATGACAGGGTCTTTCTACTCCAATCTTCACAAGCCTGATGGTTGTGGGGGCTGAGAATTATGGGCTTTGGAGGCCCCCGGCTCAGGAGCTTCAGTGGACCTGATGCGAGGCGTTTAATTATCCGGGGTCCCTTGGAGTTTGGGGGCCCAAAGCAAGAGACCCCTTCGGAATACGCACCAGTTGCTGCGAAAGAGGCTGTCCCAGCAGTCCGCGGCATAGTCCGCGGCGGAATAGACCCATCGGAGAAAGAAAACCTGCGGTCGTCGCGTCAAGGTTGGAGAGAGAAGGGAGATAACGAAGAGGAGGTTAACAAAAGCGCTGAAATATGGGGAGGGGCGAGGACTGAACGGTTGCTTTTGACAGAGTGGCTGAGCAGCCTCGGGGCAGGGGGGAATCTGAGATCTGACCCAGGTCTTGGATCCCCTCGGCTCCCACGTGGCGTGTCCCCTCTTGGTCCCAGTTTCCAGGGAAGAACTGCAGCTTTACTGCACTGAAAACAAGTAATGGAGTCTACCCAGGGGGTCTCCCCCAGGGAAAGACCAAGTGGGTTCCTTCCAGGAGCACAGGAGTAACCCCCAGATGAAATCAAAGCCAGTCTTTGAAAAAAAAAAAGCAGAACTCTTGTGAGAATTCAAAGGGCAAGAAAACCAACTTTTCACTCGGAGCACAGGAGTAACCCCCAGATGAAATCAAAGCCAGTCTTTGAAAAAAAAAAAGCAGAACTCTTGTGAGAATTCAAAGGGCAAGAAAACCAACTTTTCACTCGGAGCACAGGAGTAACCCCCAGATGAAATCAAAGCCAGTCTTTGAAAAAAAAAAAGCAGAACTCTTGTGAGAATTCAAAGGGCAAGAAAACCAAATTTTCACTCGATTTTCGGGGTTCTCCCTTGAAACCTTGAGAGGCCGAGCGCAAGGGTGAGATCTGCCTGGGTTCAATTTCTACTCTGCTTCGACATCAGCCCACAGAGTGCTCAGCCTCTGCAAGAGCCCCCCTTTACCCCCATCCCCTTGGGAAAGGCCAGCAGACTTACAGGAGCCAGCTCATCAGCCAGGTCCGGCAGGACGGCGTCCGAGGAGAGAAAGGCTGCGTCCATCCTCAGCTGATCCAGGAAGTCCAGGAGGGTGAAGCTGTCCTCCTCAGTGCCCCTCCAGGGATCTTCCAGGGCCTTGTACACGACCCGCCCAGCGTTGTTGCGTCTCTCGAGGATGACCACCTGGGTGGGGAGAGGCCGTAGTGGCGGGGAGGGATCAAGAGTCTGGAGATCGTTGTCCCCTTCAGCACGCTTCCCCTCCTGGGTGGCCTCCAGAAGGTTGGACTGCCCCTCCCATCATCTCAAGCGTGGCATACAGAGGGGGTTGTCCAACGATTGGGGCCTATTAAGGTGGGGAGGAAAGTCTGGAGCTCCTCACAGACCTCCTTTGGGGAGGAAGGGACCCTTCAGGGCTGAGAACAGGGTGAGCCACTGCCGCGCCCCCAGCGATCCAAGCCCCCCCGACCCAAGGCACCCCCCTCTCACCATCTCCATGCAACTGGTGCCCCTCCAGGTCCAGGCTCGGTTTCAGATTCCCCGGAGAGTCTGCTGCCACCCAGAGAACGCAGACTGAAGTCGCCACCATTCCCAGAATTCCCAGCCACGGCCACACTGCTGGGGAATGGGGGGGTGCCCAGACCCGAACGAGACATGCAAAACACTCACAGCTGACTTTGCCTGAAACCAGATGTTGCCCCGCAGCAGCGTGCGGGCGAACTCCTGCTGGTAGTCGCCGTAGATGTGAGCAAACCTCAGGGTCTCCTTGGTGTTGGCCACGGCAAAGGCCAGGAAGGCTTTGTAGCCCTCCGCGTACTTCTCCCCCTCGGCAGTGATCAAGACCACACAGTACCTGCACCAACAGAAGAAAAAGAGGGGGTGCTATCACACAGGAACGCCGAGGACTAGCGCCTTGGGAATAATCCCTCTGAGGCCCAGGCTCCTTCTGAAGGGACCTGTGGAAGCAACGCGCCATCCGGCCACGCCACAGGAATTTGGGCTCTGCTTTGCCAACAACAGAAAGGTTCACTGAAGAGCCTGTGGTCCTGGATTCCAATTCCCGTTCAGCTCAGCCAGGGCGGACAGGACCAGCCTGGGACCAGCCACCTCCAAGCTGGACATCCTCCAGATGGGTCAACTGCCTTCCAGAATTCCCCAGCCCACTTGGCCGCTGCTGAGAATTCTGGGAGTTTGAGTCCACCCATCTGCAAGGCGCCCAGCTTGGAGGAGACGGACCTTGGCTGGCCCCTGGACGGAGGGGGGTCCACCCCCATCGCCCACTCACTTGTGCTGACGGTGAGTCTTCTTCGCAGGACACAGCTCTTGGAAGAGTTTCTGACTGGTGAGCCGAGAGGCCATGAGGAACTTGTTCTGGGACAGGAAGTCGTCGATCAGCTGCTTTTTCATGTTGCGGGCCTGGAAGAAAGAGGAGAAAAAAGATGTTGGTGGAAAAGTCGCTGTGGTGCCTTCTCCGTGCGTTTTCCTAGAATCAAAACTTCTCAGATTATGCACCTTTTGGAGGTGGAGAAGTAACTGCAGAATAGCCTTAGCTGATGAAGCCACAGCTTTAAACTCGCTGGGCAGATCCCTAAATCCTGCTGTTTTAACCGTGGTTCATCGAACAGCCTGCAACGGTTAGGCCCACACATGATCACACTAAGCCTTAAACAATGGCTCGCAAATCACATGAAGGCACCACACACTTGTACTGGTGTGAAACAGGGAGCTGTGATGTGACCCCTTCATTTTTGATTTTAAGGTAGAAATCGGCATGTGGCCCTTGGAACCGACCACAAATCCCGGCTGCTGACACAGCACCCCAACATTTTGAGAATGGAAACATGAAAACTGTGCATGTTAAAACAGATCTTTTTTTTGGTCGCTTTTTCAATCGAGTCTCTTGAACCACCGTGCATGGTCTCATCTTGCGCAGACCTTGCCTTCCCTGTTTGGCACACTATGCCCCCTCCCCAAACCCATGAAGGGAGGCTCCTAGTTTCCAAAATGTCCCGACTTTCATATTTTTGAAATAACTCATCCCCCACCCTGCACGGCTACCCCAACTCCCCCCAAAACAGGGCAGCAATTTGGCAGCAATTGTCAATGTCCAGAAGCACTGCGTTCCAGGTTATTTGCGGGGAGGGGGGAACGATGCACTAATTTAAAAAGGGAGCAAAAGTAAGGTCATGCTATCTCCTTCAAGGCCCCCTGAAGCCCTCAAGAGCTGGGGAAGGAAATACCTGCCCCACCCACCTCCAAAAATCCAAAACGGGTTCGCCTGGATTACGCTCAGGGTTCCTGCAGGCAGCCCCGTGGGACCGTACCTGGATGACGTCAGCTGGCTTCTCGATATGTTCCTTGAAGACCATCATGGTGGGCGTGTAGACGTTAATATTGTATTGGCTAGAAAGTTCTTCGGTGCCCCGGAGCCCAACATACACGTATCCAAAGGACAAGTAATCTCTGTACGCAAATGCGGTGAGCTGGAAGGGGAGGGGAGTCAGGCCCCATGGCAGACCCCTGTTCAGTGCATCCCAAGGGGCCCCTCCTGACTCCCCCCACCAACAAAGGAGGAGGAGGGATGTATCAGCTGCTCAGGGTGCTGGGATAGCAGGCAATGGGTGGGGGCTGCACGCCTGAAGTCCAGGTCTCTCTTTAATTTCCACGCCTTTGTCCTTTACCATAAAACACCGCTCCCGGTCTCCGCCCCCATGCTTCCTCTGAATTCCCCCCCCGACTTCTGAACACCCCCCTCTTGGTGCATCCACAGCCTCACACCTCCAATGCCGGCGAGGAGAGACGTCCTGGTGACTGGGGGGCCTCTGCTGCGGATTGCAAAGCCTGGGCTCCCCTTCTATCCCCAAAAGTGGCTTCCTCCAAGGACCAGGGGCCTGAGAAAAGGGTCCCAAGGCACAAAAGGGGGGCTTTAGCCTCGGGGGGGCAGCCAAGACCGGGCGGGAGCTTTACCTTGTACAGTAACGGGACGAGGGGCAGGTGGTCAAAGAGAAGGACGTGAGGCTTATTCTCTTTCTTCCAGTTCGACAGGAACCGGACGTAGTTTTTGTCTGTGATCTACCATGGGAAGAGGGAAGGGCGTCAGACAGCGCCTGCCAGCCGAGAGGAAAGGGGGCAGACTCCCCATTAAGAGTGCCACCTCAGCCTTGATTTTTCAAAGGTGTTCCTTGCAGGGTGGTGCCGGCAGTTTAAAAAGGAACCCGCAGAAGAAAAGGAAACACAAAACTTAGGAGTAACTAATACTCCAAGCGGAGAGCAACTTTGCAATTCTGATGGGGAGATCGGA